CAAATGTCTTGATCGGGTCCAAGTAAGAGTTGGTTGTGAGGACGAGCCAGAGACCAAAGCGCACGATTCGACGAATCGGAGCCCGAACAGGGGACGGTGCGACCTTGGTCGTGTCCGCGCTGGGCTTGCAAGCCATTTTAAAATTCCCCAACTGCCGTTGGTTTCATTTTGCCACTTTGGTATAGTTCAAAATTACTTTCCATCTCCCAAGCGTACAAACCCACAGTCAAGAAGGGGTGTTCTTGTCGACTTCTTTTAGTCTAGCGGTTTAGACACTGGTTTACCACCAGGTAGATCCGGGTTCAAGTCCGGAGAGAGCACCACTTCCTGATTCCCACGCTACTAAGTTCGACATGAGGTTAACCCTAGTCCGGACGTTGTTGTGACGCTGTAACGACGTTGTCGCGACGTTGTTGTGACGTTGTCGGGATGAAGATTGGCGGCGTTATCAAGCGCATGGACGAACTCCTCATGGGTGACCCCGGTGTGGCCAAGAGGCAGCTCCTCCAGCACATTGTGACCGTGAGCCCGAGAGACATCTACACGATGGGCAAGGCCCATCGTGTAGGGCAGTTGTCGCGTCGGACTCACGGCCGCGGTCGTGCGCGAACATCACCAAGGAGCTGACGCTTGAAGGTGGCGCGCTTGTGCTGGCCGATATGGGCGTTTGCAGCATCGACGAGTTTGACGAGATCACACCCTGCCCCAAGAAACCCCAAGGCTCGGGGCAGGTACGTTAAACTTCAATGCATACTACGATCCCGTCCACCGGCAAGTCCAAACTACGTCACGCGTAGTACACGATCCCTCCGCTAGATTGCACGCTACCCCAATTCAAAACCTCCACCATAGAGCTCGACCAAAACCTGCCCCAAGAAAACACGAGGTTAACCCTAGTACATCATTATTCAGCTACCGGTACAGTATTATCAAATCAACTAGAAATCGAGTTAGTACACATCTGGGATGCCAAGACAGGCCGGCCGTGACGTGATTCGCGCCAACGACTCGATCGACACGGCGGCGTCAAACGCGACACGGTTCCCGCTACCAATGACCGCCACGTGTCCGAGCTCATTGACGATGGGCGACGAGATGCCCCACTCGGTCATGCCCATGACGTGAATGTTGCCGTAGATGAGGCACACAAATCCCTCGGCCGCGAGGTTGAGCGACTCGCAAAGCCGGCGCGGTGGTAGCTTGGCGCGCGTCATCTGCAACGCAATGTCCTGGGGCGTCCGGCGCGTCGAGAGCATCAGAATCGTGTGCACGCGTGGCTCGGCGGTTGCAATGTCGAGCACGCGCTTGGACAAGCCGTGCTTGAGCGGCGAGAGTACAAACACAAAGATGCTGCTGCTGTTGGTGGCCTTGCGCCACACAGTGTCGATGAGGATCGTCGTAAACGGCGATAGAATCGTAAAGTAGCCAAAGAGTTGCAGGTAGAGCGTCAAGCTCGTGAGCTGCTTGGCATAAACGTTCAGAACCGAGTTGGCGTAGTGGTGGACGATCGCGCCGGTCCAGCGGTAGCCCTGGAAGAGACTCATGCCCTGGCTCGTGACCTGCACGGGAATGTAGAGCCACACAACCGGTGCGCCGAGGAAGAAGAGGTCTTCGGTCATTGCAAATGCGTACTGTCGCCCGAATAAGATCTGAATGGCCCGAGACGCGAGGAGGAGGAGGAAGGCACAAGGCCAGATGATGCGCGTGATCGACATGTACTTGAGCGCGAGTAAAAAGAGCGACGGACCCGAGTAGATGACTTGCTGACAGTACATGACCACGTCCTCGGTGCTCGCGACGGCCTCGGCCGAGAGCAAGAGCAAAATGAACAAGTTGTGTCGCTCGCGCTTGTGCAGCACCAAGCCCGTGTGACGCTGCCGCAGCCAGCGGAAGAGCGGCTGGCGCTGCCGCCAGTACACGAGCGCGATCGGATAGTAGATCGAGGTCACGCGGTAGTAGGTGATCACCGCCAACAACGAAAGCCGAAACGCGTCCTTGTAGCCGAGCCGGATCTGCGTCAAGTCGCCCTCTGAGTAGTGTCTCGTCGTCACGTGCACCGCGCCGTCCGACTTCTCTGTCACGACGTTGGCGTCGGCCGTCCGCGTCGTCCGCGCGGTCCACGGCGCGGTTGTGTCACCGTACCACGCTGACGTCGTGATGTGCGTCGCGGTGCCGCCCACGTGCATGTCGATCGGACACTTGAGGAGCGGCTCGAGGCTCAGCACGGGCGGCAGGTACGTCAGCGCAATGCTCGAGAAAGCTGGTGCACCCGACGTGTTGGCGACAAGCACCTCTTGGATCCCAGACGTCACATTCAGAATGTAGAAACCACC